CACGTCTAATTGGACAGCTTGGACAGCTGTGTGTTTGTTTTTTTTTTTTTTTTTTGGTTACTCACTTACATTGAGTTTTTCCAAAGCAATCAGCTTAATCTTTATAGAATTGCTCTTTCTTTTTTTGTTTGTGTAATATTTATTTAAGCGACATACTGCAGTATGGCATTACAGTAACAAATACAGCTGGCAGACAGAGGATTGGGAGTAAATACAGTTGACTCTTGGTAAACGTACAGCTGAAATGGTACGAGAATTATAGAGACACACTAGGGAGTCGACCCTCAGCCAAAGCGGCTTTCTGTGGGCATCAAACTGTTTTATAGAAAGAGAGGTGAGCATTAGGTAAGTGGAGAGGAACTAGTAATTTGGTTACATGGAGATTGGTTGAGAGATTTTCTACAGTATACTCTTGTGGATCTTTTGATTTTGTACGATTGGTGTAGATTACCTATTTTAAAATTATATTAATTGAAAAAATAACAACTTCTTGTCATGACATTTTTTCAGCCTAACTTGGTTGTGACACAGGGCAGGGACCTCAATTGCTGAGTTCTCCTTTTTTTTTATTTTTCTCTGAACAACTAAGTTGGAACCAGTAGTAGGAACAGGTAATTTTCATTCATAATGGGAAGTTATTTTGGAGAAATAATTCACCTAGTAAATAGTGTTAATATTTTTCTCATAAGTATATGCAAAGGTTGTGTCCTCTAGATCTCAACACTAGAAAACAAAATGCTTTAATTCTTTTTATTTCTCTACTCAAGGTCATGGATCGCCCTGGGAACTATGTAGAACCGACAATTGTGACAGGTCTTGCCCATGACGCATCTATCGTGCACACAGAAACTTTTGCTCCAATTCTTTATGTCTTTAAATTCAAGGTAACAGTTGATTCTCTCTTTTCTGTAGTCTAATGTTGAAACAAATGAAAAGACTAGGGGAAAATGAAGGTATATTATGTTTCACTCAATTAGCCTCTAGGGAGGTTTTAGAAAGTCACTCTGTTTAGTTAAAATTTGAAGGTTAAGGAAAAAGTATGATGAGATGAACACTTTACAGCCGTAAAGCATGTCAGCCTAGCTACCCAGGAAACCAAGATGGGTAGAGGAGTGACGCTGGAATTTATGCAGAGTCCTCCTCTCCTGTGGACCATCAAGGCAGTGTCTACACACGAGAATTGTGGAGAGTTGGATAGTCTGCTGTTAAGTATTGGCAGACAAAATGAGAAAATGTGAGGCAATCTAAAGATCTACAGTTACAGCCTGTGTCAGAGGACATGCTATGCAGGTTTTAACAGGTGAAGATAACCAGAGGGTCTAAGACACTAGCCTTGCCAGCAAGTATGTAGGATTAGTTTTGAGACTCAGAAATTAAATCAAGGTTTGAATGTGCCATGATTAACAGTTAAAGGATAATGAGAATTGTACCATGTTGCAACTATATGGTTGCATTTCTTCATATCTTTAAATTATCTATAATCTTTTCACATATAGTGACTATAGAGAATAGTAATTTGATGTTTTACTGTGTGTGTGTGTGCGTGTATATGTGTATGTTAACCTGTATTTGTGTGTGTGTGACTATGAGACCTTGGGGTAAATATTTAACCTCTTCCAAAGAGATAAAATATTCTCATTAAGGATTATGTCTTCTTTCTTGGTTTACTCTTTCACTTTAGGAGAGCACATCCTCAGTTGCCTTATCTGTAAAATTTATATGTTATAGACCTGTCCCATAGGGTAAGGATTAAACAAGTACAGCTGCTGACCAAAAGGTCGAGTTTGAATCCACCGGCCACTCCTTAGAAACCCTACGAGGCAGTTCTACCCTGTCCTACAGGGTCGCTATGAGTTGTAGTCGACTCGATGGCAGTGGGTTTTGTGTTTTTTGTTTATGCATGAAAAATTCTTAAGTCAGTGCACTCCATTAATGTTAGCAGTTATATAGCTAGCTGAATGGAAGAATGTTACTAATATTTATTTCTCAATAAAGTACAATTAGAGGAAAAAAGTCACAAAACACTATGTAAGAGAAACATAGAATTACTAAAATGTGAACTTTATGTGCACTAAAATTATTCTGGTACATCTCATGAAATGGGTTTAATATCAGTGAACTTTGACCTGAACACTATCATCTAACAACTTCTAATCTCTCTCCTTTTAGAATGAAGACGACGCCTTTGCGTGGAATAATGAAGTAAAACAGGGGCTTTCAAGTAGTGTCTTTACCAAGGATTTGGGAAGAATCTTCCGCTGGCTTGGGTATATCTTTATCTGTTTTGAAAATTTGTGTAAATCAGGTTTGTGTGATGAATGCACTTTAAAAAAAGAAAAGGGAACTGTCAGAGTTGAAAGTGCAGTTTTAGTATTGGGAGTCTTAAGAGCTTTTGTTTGCTTGGGTTCTTTTTTGATTGTTTTTAATTTCCTGTACATTGCTGTCACTATGCCTCCCTTTTTACACACAGACCTAAAGGATCAGACTGTGGCATCGTAAACGTCAATGTTCCAACGAATGGGGCTGAGATTGGAGGTGCATTTGGTATGTAGAGAATTGTTTCTCGTCTCCCATGTAGGGGAGCAAAGGAAAAGCAGTAGTGGCTTTAAGAAAAGTTTGACCACAAAACTGAAACACAGCTTGTATTCTGAAATAATAATTTTATTAAATCTAAATGCATGAGAGCTTTTATTCCATATTCAGAGTTAATGCCTAGGGCCCTGTGTTCTATCTTGATACAGCATTCTGTTAGAAGTGGGGTTTTACATGGGGTATGTGAACCCCTGAAATTATGACATCTGCTTTCTGGGGACACTGTCCAAAACCCAAAAAAGATTAAAACCCCTGCTTTAGAGCCAGAAAAGTTCACACAAAATATTCTGGGTTTTATTTGCAAAGCAGTAAATGATAAGCTTTATCTTCACTAGAGAAAATGTTACGTTGTTTCTTTTCACTAAGCCCTGCTCCTGTTTTTTCTTAATAAGCCTTGAGGTTTGTTTTTTTTTTTTTTAAAATAATATACTATTGTGTTTTAGGTGAAAGCTTACACAGCAAATTAGGTTCCCCTTTAACAATTTTTTATACAAATTGTTTCCTGCCATTGGTTACAATTTTTACAATGTGTCGACATTCTGATTATCTGCATTGTGTTTGTTCTGTTTCCATTGATCTATATTCCCTTTCCCTCCTTGACTTCTCATCTTTGCTTTTGGGTAAATGTTGACAGCTTAGTCTCATATAGTTAATTGCTTAAGGGAGCATATTACTCACAGGTGATATTTTTTATTTTATAAGCCAATCTACTATTTGGCTGAAAGGTGACCTACAGAAATAGCTTCAATTCCAAGTTCAAAAGTTATTTTAGAGCTATAGTCTTGGGGCTTCCTCTAGTCTCTATCGGTCCAGTAGGTCTGGCTTTTTTGAGGAATTTGAGTTTTGTTCTACATTTTTCTCCCTTTCTATCTGGGACCTTCTATTGTGTCCCTAGTCAGAATGTTTGGTAATGGTAGCTGGGCACTGTCTAGTTCTCCTGGTCTCAGGTTAGAAGAGGCTATGGTTTGTGTGGGCTGTTAGTCCCATGGACTTGTTTTTTCTTTGAGCTTTTGATTTCTTTTATTCTCTTTTGCTCCATACAAGTAAAAACCAATAGTTGTATCTTAGATGGCAGCTTGCAAGCTTTTAAGACCCCAGGCACTACTCACCAAACTAGGATGTAGAACATTGTCTTTGTGAACTATGTTTTGCCAATTGACTAAGCTGTCCCCTACTACTATGATCCCAAGCCTTTTAACCCCGTAAACCAACGCTGCGAGTTGTTTGGTTATGTCTAGGAGGCCTCTGTAACAGTGCCCCCATGTGGCTTGTTACGTATGTGGATATATATGCAGCACATACAAATGTGTATATACATAGGCCTACAGATACACCTATACATGCATGTGCATTTACTCATCTATGCCTTTGTATACACTTATACACATCCACATCTACCTATGTAATCACACACATATTTTTTGGTTATTTTTACCGTTATTGCAAAATTGTATGTTATAGCATTTACCGAAATTGTCCCTTTTTCTCATGTACTTCTTTTTTTTTTAAATTTTATTGCGCTTTAGGTGAAAATTTACCATTCAAGTTAATTTCTCATTCAGAAATTTATACACATATTGTTTTGTTCCATTGGTTACAGTCCCTACAATGTGACAGCATGCTCCCCCTTTCCCACCTGGGTTCCCTGTGTCCATTGTCCAGTTCCTGTCCCTTTCTGCCTTCTTGTCTGGCTTTTGGGCAGGAGTTGCCATTTGGTCTTGTATATTTGATTGAACTAAGTCTTGTGTACTTCTTAGTGCCTTTTTTTTACCTTGGTCAAGTTGTACTGACTTCACCCATATTTGATCTTGACTTTTCCATCACGAAAAGTAACAAGTGTCTACTATCTAGAAAGTGATTCCCCCTCCCTCTGCCCCCTATCCCTGGAACCATCAAAGAACTTTGCTTTCTGTGTGTATACCTATTCTTGGCTTTTTATAATAGTGAGACCATACAATATTTGTCTTTTTATGATTGAATTATTTCACTCAGTAAAATGTCCTCCAGATTCATTATTCTTTATAGTTGCATAGTATTCCATTATATGTATGTACCACAATTTGTTTATTCAGTCATCTGTTGATGGGCACCTAGGATGTTTCCATCTTTTTGCTATTGTGAATAATGCTGCAATGAACATAGATGTGCATATGTCTATTCGTGTCACTGCACTTATAGTTCTAGGATATATACCTAGGGGTGGGATTGCTGGATCATAAGGTATTTCTACTTTTAGCTTTTTGAGAAAGCGCCATACTGTTTTCTGTAGTGGTTGTGACATTTTACAACCCCACCAGCAATGTATAAGAGTTCCAATCCCCCTACAACCTCAGCAGCACTTTTTTTAAATCACTGCCATTTTTGCAGAGGTGAGATGGTATCTCATTGTAGTTTTGACTTGCATCTGCCTAATGACTAATGCTGTGGAGACCCAGTGGAGCAATGGTTAAGAGCTCAGGCTGCTAACCAAAAGGTCTTCAGTTTGAATCCACTAGCTGCTCCTTGGAAACCCTATGGGGCAGTTTTGCTCTGTACTATAGGGTCGCTATGATTCAAAATCGACTTTGACAGCAACAGGGTTTTTTTTTTTTTTTTTTTTTTAATAACTGATGATCGTGAACATTTTTTCATGTATTTGTTGAATGTCCTCTTTGGTGAAGTGTCTGTTCATGTCCTTTGCCCATTTTTTGATTGGATTGTTCATCTTTTTGTTGTTGAGTTGTTGAAGTTTTCTATGTGTTTTAGAGATTAGATGCTTATCAGATATGTCGTTGCCTAAGATTTTTTCCCAGTCTGTAGGTTCTTTTTTTACTCTGTTGGTGAAGTCTTTTGATGAGCATAAGTGTTTAATTTTTAGGAGGTCCTGGTTATCTAATGTATCTTCTGTTGTTCATGAACTTTTAGTTGTGTTTGATAGGCTTTTTATGCCGAAAATTTAGGTCCCTTAGTTTTGTCCCTATGTTATCTTCCAGGAACTTTCTAGTTTTAGCTCTAACATGTCTTTGATCCATTTTGAGTTAGTTTTTGTGCATGGTGTAAGGTATGGATCCTGATTCATTTTTCTGCATATGGATATCCAGTTTTACCAGCACCATTTGTTAAAGATACTATTTCTTCTCCGTTGAATATACTTCGACCCTTTTGTCGAAGATCAGCTGCCCTAGATGGATGGATTTACTTCTGGGTATTAATTGTATTGCATTGCTCTATGTGTTTGTCATTGAACCAGTACCATGTTGTTTTGATTACTATGGCTGTGTTGTAAGTTTTGAGATTGGGAAGTGTAAGCCCTCCTACTTTGTTCCTCTTCAACATTGCTTTAGCTATTTGGGGCCTCCTTCCTTTCTATATAAAGTTGTAGATTAGTTTTTCCATTTCATTAAAGAATGTTGTTAGGATTTGAATCAGGATTGCATTATCTCTATAGATTGCTCTTGGTAGTATTGACATTTTCACAATGTTATGTCTTCCAATCCGTGAGCGTGGAGTGTGTTTTCATTTATGCAGATCTCTTCCAGTTTCTTCCAGTAGTGTTTTAATAGTTTTCCTTGTATACAGTAAGTCTTTTCTGTCCCTGGTTAGGTTTATTCCTAGGTATTTCATCCTTTTGGGGACTATTGCAAATGATATTATTTTCTTGATTTCCTTTTCAGAGTCCTCCTTGTTAATGTAGAGGAACCCAACTGATTTCGGTGTATTGATCTTTTACCCTACCACTTTGTTGAGTTGTTCTATTAGTTCCAATAACTTTCTTGTGGAGTCTCTGGAATTTTTTGTGTATAGAATCATGTCATCTGTGAATAAGAATGGTTTTACTTCTTCCTTGCTGATTTGGATAGCCTTTATTTTCCTTTCTTGCCTTATTGCTGTAACTGGGACTTTAGTACAATACTGAATAAGAGTGTTGATAAAGGGCATCCTCATCTCATTCCCTTTCTCAAGGGGAATGCTCTCAATCTTTCTTATATAATTTCTCCTTATATGAGAGTAATGTTGGCTGTTGGTTTTTGCATATATGCCCTTAATTATGTTGAGGAATTTCCCTTCTATTCCTATTTTGCTGAGAGTTTTTATCAAGAAAAGGTGTTGGATTTTATCAAATGCTTTTTCTGTGTCGATTGAGATGATCATGTGTTTCTTTTCCTTTGTTTTATTTATGTAGTGAATTACATTCATTGATTTTCTAATGTTGAACCATCCTTGCATCCCTGGTATGAGTCCCCCTTGGTCATGATGTATGATTTTTATGATATGCAGTTGAATTCTGTTAGCTAGAATTTTATTCAGAATTTTTGTGTTTATGTTCATGAGGGATATTGGTCTGTAATTTTCTTTTTTAGTGATATCTTTGACTTTGGTATCAGGGTTATGCCGGCTTTATAGAATGAGTTAGAGAGTATTCCTTCTTTTTCTATGTTCTGGAATAGATTTAGTAGAATTGGTGTTAATTCTACTGAATGTTTGGTAGAAGTCTCCAGTGAAGCTGTCTGGGCCAGGCCTTTTCTTTGTTGGGAGTTGTTTTTTTTTAATGACCGCTTCAGTTTCTTCTTTTGTTATGGGTCTGTTCAAATTTTATACCTCTATTTGTGTTAGTTTAGGTAGGTGGTGTGTTTCTAGAAATTTGTCCATTTCTTCTAGGGTTTCAAATTTGTTGGAGTACAGTTTTTCATAATATTCTATGATGATCCTTTTTATCTCAGTTCTGTTATAATGTCACCCATCTCATTTCTTATTTTGGTTATTTGCATCTTCTCATTTTTTTCCTTTGTAAGTTTGGCCAGTGGTTTGTCAATTTTATTGATCCTCTCAGAACCAATTCCTAGTCTTTTTGATTCTTTCTATTGTTTTTCTGTTTTCAATTTCATTTATTTCTGCTCTGATCCGTATTATTTCCTTTCTTCTGGTGACTGGACTTCTTTTGCTACTCCTTTTCTATTTGTTCAAGCTGTAGGGTTAAGATATTGATTTTGGCCTTTTCCTCTTTTTTTGATGTATACATTTATTGCTATAATTTCTCCTCTGAGCACTGCTTTTGCTGTATCCCAAAGGTTTTGGTATGCTGTTTTCATTCTCATTTGATTCTAGGAATTTTTTTTTAATAATCAAAAGGTAGAAGATTTTATTTGAACAGTAAATTTTAAATAAGTATAGTGAAAGGATACAACCTGATGCACACCATTCCTGATTTTAAACCACACAGTATCTCCTTGTTCTGTTCAAATAACTGCCTCTTGGTCTATGTACAGGTTCTACATGAACACAATTAAGTGTTCTGAAATTCCCATTCTTTGTAATATTATCCATAATTTGTTATGATCTACACAGTATAATGCATTTTCAGAGTCAATAAAACACACGTAAACATCTCTCTGGTATTTTCTGCTTTTAGCCAAGATCCATCTGACATCAGCTATAATATCCCTGGTTCCATGTCCTCTTCTGATGATTCTAGGAATTTTTTAATTTCATTTTTAATTTCTTCTATTACCCAGTAGTTTTTAAGGAAGCTGTTATTCAGTTTCCATATATTTAATTTTTTCCTTGTTCTTTCTGTTTGTATTACTTTGATGTTTTTGAATTTATTGATGCTTGCTTTGTGGCCTAAAATATGATTTGTTCTGGAGAATGAACCATGTGCACTGGAGAAGAATGTGTACTGTGCTGCTGTTGAGTGGTGTGTTCTGTGTATGTCTATGAGGTCAAGTTGGTTGATTGTGTTATTTAGATCTTCTGTATCTTTGTTGAGTTTTCTTTCTAGTTATTCTGTCCATGATTGAAATGGTGTGGTAAAGTCTCCTACTATTATTGTAGAACTGCCTATTTCTCTTTTCAATTCTGTTAGAATTTGTTTTATGTATTTCAGAAGTCTGTCATAGGGTGTGTAAATATTTATTATGGGGATGTCCTCTTGGTGGACTGACCCTTTAATCATTATATAATGCCCTTCCTTGTCTCTTATAATGGATTTTGACTTAAAGTCTATTTTATCAGAGATAATTACTGCCATTCCTCTCTTTGGTTACTGTTTGCTTAAGATATATATTTTCTACCCTTTGATTTTTAACCTATTTGTGTCTTTGTGTCTAAGGTGTATGTCTTTTAGGTAACATATTAATGGGTCATTTTTTTTAATCCATTCTGCCACCCTCTGTCTCTTGACTGGTGCATTTAAACCATTTACATTACCGTGTGAATATGAATAGGTATGAATTTACTCCTGCCGTTTTGTTATGCTTTTTTGTGGTGTTAATGGTTTCTTTGTTCTGCATAATTTTCTGTGCTGAGTTCTTTTAGCTTATGGGTTTTCTTTTCATTCCCTTTGTTGTAAACCTTGAGTTTTTAAAGCTTAAATTTAGTAATAGCTTAAAAAGCAATCAATTAATTTTACTTATTAAAAGTGATCCATTGGAAATAGATAGTGGTGATGGTTGCACAACATGATGAAAGTAACTAATGTCACTGAACTGTATATGTAAAAAATGTTGAAATGACAATTTTTTTGTTATATACACACCACAATAAAAATAAATAAAAGGGATCCAAAGTATAGTAAGAACAGATTGATTTTTTTTAATATAGAAGCAAAACAAACATGTATTAATACATGTAAGAAGCTTATTAGTAGAAGTCTTGTTATATTTTTAGATCAAACACTACAGTTACTATTCAGTATGCTGACTACTGACTAAAGCCTCTATTTTCAGTTCAGCCTCTTGCTCCTACCCTCCACTATGTAGTCATCTGAATGCATGCGTATCTTACCTGCTCCTGCTGGAATCTTTAACTAATCCGTTTCCAGTTTCTGCCTGCTTTCTCCAATTGACTAGTCTTTATTTAAACTTTTAAAATTAATTTTATTTTTAAAGGTGGATCTCTCTGTCTGCGTGTGTGTGTATAAAAATTGTTTTAGCCTTGTACTGGAAGAATCAGTTCTGTGCCCACACTTTCCTCCTCCTTTCTCAGAGGCAGCGGCTTTGTGATACTTCTTGCTAAAACTAAAAGTAAATTTATCTCAGTATTCTAAATATTATGCTTTAACTACTGTCTCCAGATTTGACAACTTCAGAAATTATTTTTTGATCCCCTATTATTAACCTTAAATCCTTCACTTTTCTGTATCTTCTAATATATTATCACAATTTTTGGTTCATCAATTTGATTTATTATAACTGTGTGAATATTAATCTTGTTGAATTCATGTAGTTGTCTATAATTTGTTTTCTTATAGAACTGTTTTTTTCCTTTCAGTTAAATTTTTCATTGGCTTGATTTTCTGTGTATTTATTGTTAAGTTGGCTCACACCCTCCAATGTCTACTTAGTATAATTTCCCACAGTGTCCAGCCCATCAGTTCCCTTTTTCTCCCCTTGTGGAGTGCTCTGTCCTCTTACTATGATCTGGACTTGTAGTTCTGCAGGCTTGCTGCACAGCTTTACCCCTGGATCTCCCTTGGCTATCATCGTAGGAATTTCATTTGTTTGTTTTCCTGTGTTGGCTCCCCTATTTTCTGGATCTCATGTTTTCTTTCTTGGTTTACTCCTTCATTTTGGTGGAGCACATCCTCTAGAGGCATATGAAAGAGAGTACATAGAAGATAAATTTACATTTCTGAAAATGCAATTCAGAATTTGCATTTCTGAAAATGGCTTTATACTACCCTTGTATTTGATTAATAGTATGGCTGGTACAAAATTCTAGGTTAGTGTGCTAGGGCTCCCTGAGACCATGTCCAGGTTCAGTGATCGGCTGGAAGGATTCACAGATCTCAGCATATAGTTGTACTCATGGCTACGATTTATTACAACAAGAGGCTACAAAGCAAAATCTGCAAAAGGAAGTCTGGAGGAAACCAGGCACCCAGCTTGAGAGTCCTCCCAGTGGAGTCACACAGGATGTGTTTAATTCCTCCAGCAATGTTGTGACAAGTGTGAAATACTGTCTACCAGAGAAGCTCATTAGAGAGTCAGTGCCTGAAGTTTTTATTGGAGCTGGTCAATGTAGGCACCCTCTGCCTAGCACTTACCAAGATTCCAGACTCCCAGAAGGAAGGCTGGTGTTTAGCATAAACTACTTTGTTTGTATAAAAACAATTGAGGCACAGTGAGCCGCCCTTATTACTTAGGGAATTTTATTATTAGCGTAAGGGGCCATTTACCAGTCATGTGCCTAGATGCTGCTCTTTTGTTTCCCTGTGATTTTTCTCTCCACATCCCACATATGCTCTGAGCCCCACATACTCTGTCCCGGAGCTTCCAGTTTGACTAATTTGTACTTCTCCCATAATTTACATTCACTCTCTTGCTTATAAAACTTACAGAACACGTTCTTAGTAGACTAAAATGAAGGGAAAAATCTTTATATTTCACTGTTTGTGATATCTGGAGCTCTCTAAAGTGCAGCCCCAGGGGTTGGAAGTTCGAACCCACCCAGCAGTACCACAGAAGAAAGGCCTGGTGATCTGCTTCTATAAAGATTACAGCTAAGAAAACTCTACAGAGTAGTGCTACTCTGTAACACTTGGGGTTGCCATGAGTTGAAATCAACTTGATGGCAACAGGTTTTTTTGTTTAAGAGGAGTAAAAGAAGCCAAACCTGGTGTCATCAAGTCAATTCCAATTTATAGCAACCCTATAGGACAGAATAGAAATGCCCTATAGGGTTTCCAAGGCTGTAATCTTTATGGAGGCAGATTGCTGCATCTTTGTCCTGCAAAGCAGCTGGTGGGTTCAAACTACTGACCTTTTGGTTAGCAGACAAGTGCTTAACCATTGTGCCACCAGGGCTCCTTTGAAGAGGAGTACTGGAGATATTTTATGTCAAGTAGCACAGTGCCTGGCACATTAGTTACTGCTTATTTGTGTGTATGCATATGTATTAGCATGTCTGTGTTGTACACTAAACCAGGAGTGATTTCTTCCCCCTGTGAACCTTTACAGCATTCATCCATACCTTGTAAGATTTTTTTGCACATCCAGCGGAGTCAGCATTGTCTGTTTATCTCTCATTTCCTTGCCTGGATGTTCATTTCTCGTGTCCTCACGAGGCATAGCATAGCACCCTTCACAGGGGAGGCGCTCAGGAATCAGCAAGGGTTGGCAGAGGAGAGAGTCTGGGCTAAATATATGTTGGGGAAAATGGATATAGTAACTGGTTAGGGCAGCTCTGGTCTCCTTTTAATACTGTCATGGAAAGAAGCTGCTCAAAAATGTGAAATTATTTTGTATTCCTTCAGGAGGTGAAAAGCATACTGGTGGTGGAAGGGAGTCTGGCAGTGATGCCTGGAAACAGTATATGAGAAGATCTACTTGGTAAGCAAAAGACTTTGGGAAGACGGGTTTGAGTGTAAAGCCTTTGGGAACGGATTCTTACCCTCTTCTACTTTCTGCTCTGTCTTCGTGCAGTTTCACTTCCTTTTTCTTTCTTAGTGTTTCACAGCTGTCTCCTCCCAGAGCACCCGTTTTATACTATTTTGTTTCTACCCTTCTTGTCTGACTTCAGCTAGTGCCCAGCGTCAGACTGTAACCATCCAGTTGGTTGATACCCCGGAGATGGCGTAGGAGCAGGACACCTGGGGTCAACCAGCAGGAGAAAGTGGAAGAGCTGCCTCTTTCATTTTCTCCTTGGATATGGTTACCACCTTGAAGACTATAAAACAGGGAGACGGATGGAGGTGGGCATGCAGGCCTGGGGTACCCCAGCTCTTGAAGTAGTAAGTGCGACCCTTGAAAGTAGATTAGCTCATTCACCTGGGACACACATAGCTGGCTAGGGAGTCTGCTTGCTGAGGGTCTTCCAGAGAGGCTTTGACTGGGAGTTGTTTCTTTTACTTTTAGTCTATTTTCCTCCCCCTTTTATCGAGTTGCAATGAAACAGAGATTGTGGGGTCAAGCCCATGCAGTGCCATGTTGTAGAAAGAGCACAGAGTGAGGAACGAAGAGACGTACATGCTCGTTCTTTGACTGCTTCCCACTAGCTCTGTGACCTCGGGTGCGTTTCTTGACCTTGAGTCCTAATAGCCTGAGCTCTTTTATTTCTGTCAGGAATTTCTGAGGTGCTTTTGGCTGTGGCTTGTTACATTGCAGACACATCCACATTGATTGTCCATTCCCACTCTTTGAAGTCAGATGTGTCCCTTTTACTTTTCTTCTGCACTGGAGATCTGGAGTGGCAAACATATTTAGGTATGGTCTTTCTGGAACCTGTTTAATGGAAACACTTCTCCTTTCAGGAGAAAAACAAGGTGACTAGTTAGTAGGGAAACTTTTATTTTCCAAAGTATAGTTTCTTACTTTATTTCTATCAAAATGGAAATACCTCTATTTTTTCTGATAATTCAGTGCAACCTATTGAAAGATACAAGGAGAAAAGTTACAGCCTGCATAATTTTATGCCCTGCTCAAGGAAAACTGTGAATAACCTGTGTAATATGTATTTCTAGGCAATTGTTTCTCTCCCTCTTTTTTAAATAAAATGATACATACTAACATTGTTTTGTATCCTAATTTTTTTCTTCACATATTTGCGACTTGAACATCTTACCTTGTTAATATATATAGATCTACTATGTTTTTTAATGGAATGGAAATACTCTGCATGTACTATCATTTATTTAATTTTGTTCATTTTTTTCCTCTAGTACCATCAACTACAGTAAGGACCTTCCTCTGGCCCAAGGAATCAAGTTTCAGTAAAGGCATTTTAGATTCACATTACTTCAAGACTTGCAGGCATTCCTGCAGTTCTTCTGAAGAAGACAAGGAAAATTAAGATGTGCCCTGAATAAATGTCCTGACTATGTCAGTGAGTAATCATCTATGCCCCTGAGGCCCTAACTAAATCAACAGACTAATTTTTGAAAAAGAAATAAAGTTGCATGATATAGCATATTTAGCAAAACAAATGGATTGTGTGGATTTTTATATCACTAGCTGTTATTGTTCATGCTTGGTAAAGTAGAGGGTCAGCAAAAAAGAGGAAGACCCTCAACAAGATGGATTGACACAGTGGCTGCAACAGTGGGGTCAAACATAGTAACTACTGTGGAACGGCACAGGACCGGGCAGCGTTTCATTCTGTTGTCCACAGGGTCTCTATATGAGTCAGAACTGACTCGATGGCACCTAACAACAACAACATTGTTGTTCATGGTTTTTAAAAAGTTTCTGATTATTTTATAATTAGAAGAAATAGTACATGCCATGGTAGAAATTTGGAAAAATATAGAACAAAGAATAGAGAAGAAAATAGAAGTCTTCTGAGTACAAGCAGGAACATCTCCTGAGCAAGTAAATGATTCTTGCGGCAAGTGTTGATTCACATTATCCTCCTCTGGCTTATATTGGAAAGGGTGTGATTGAAAATGAGCTAGCTGTAGCCCTTATATACAGAGAACTGTAGTGCAAAATTCACGTGGAATGGTTTGCTATGTTTAAAGTGACTAAGAGTATTCATCCGCAGTTATGGCTTTTTTTACTCATGATGACTTGTGTTGCTGTGGCAGAGATTTGCAGGGTAAACGTAGATTTTGCTCCTGCCTAGAACTTGCTGCCTGCTTGGGACTGTGTGCCAGAAACTGCCCGTGCAGAATTCTAATGTGCATCTGGATTTCTTGTGCCTTCTTTAGACCATTTTCTTCCGCTGTTAGGTTTCTGCAGTTGCCCTTGGATTTGTTCTTCAGAGAATAACTAGTGTGTGTGGCAGCATGTACGTGCAGTGAATTGGGGAAAGTTCACTCACTCGTTGCTGAGAGTCTCACTCCTTCTTATTGAGAATCTGCACAGGAGCCTTTGGACTGGTCAGGGCCCCTTGTCAAGCTCACACTGGCTCTTGGCATTCTCCTGTCTTCCTGGCGCTCTGCTTTCCCTCCCCACTGGGTAGGAGCCTTCACCCCTTCTACTCCTGCCAGATTGGATCAGGGCAGAGTCCTTTGAAGAAGATAACATTTGTAGACTGCCTGATGTATCAGGATGTATGAAGATGTTTGGGCAACTGGCAAAGAGTTTGGGGTTGAATTACAACACAGAAAAGCAAGCAAATGAAAAAGAGACAATCATAACACGGGTTAAGGGTAGGTGAAAGGCAGATTCCTTTTCTGTAATGAAAAATCAATGATACCTGAAATTACAATAGCAAGAAATAGCAACACAGGCTTATTAATAAGATAGGGAGGTAAATCCTGAAACGGTTTTTGCCTCTGGGGGTGGGTAAGTGGGGGGGGGCCTCGGAGATGAGGGATTGTTTTATATAACAAGTCTTGTAGAAGTGATCAAGAATGTATAAAACCAAGAGAATGTATAAAAATGAAAACAAAAGAAAATGATGTTGGAGAGTCATGTACTTGAAGTCGTACATTTCCAGCCCCCTTCCCTTATCCTAAGGAGCCCTGGTGGCACAGTGGTTAAAGTGACTGACTGCTAACCCAAAGGTAGGTGGTTCAAAACCACAGTGGTTGGAAACCACCAGCGGCTCCCCGGGAGAAGATATGGCAGTCTGCTTCCGTAGAGATTTACAGCCTTAGAAACCCAATGGGGTCGCTATGAGTCAGAATCGACTTGATGGCAGTGGGTTTTTGGTGGTCCCTGATTCCCCCTCCCCAGCCCACATGCACATACTTGCTAGTTCGCCCATTATTGATTTAGGGACCACTTAAAAAGTATAATCCTATTGAAAACCAAATCTTCCTCCACATTTCAAAGTTCAGAATAGACTATTCTGTATTAAGCTATAGATACACTTCTTTAAATAACCAGTTTAAGAAAATCATGCAATTTGGGCATTAACTTTAAAATAATACTATGGTTTTACTGTGATCCTTTTTTAGATCACAATGTAAGCAGTCTAACCTTGTTTTATTTAGTGAAGAAAGTAAGGCCTTAATTAAAGCACTTTTAGGATTCATGGAAATAATTGGCCATCTTCAATTTTTTTGTGAAATTCTACAAATTATTTGTTATGGATTGAATTGTGTCCCCCCAAAATGCATGTCAACTTGGCTAGGCCATGATTCGCAGTATTGTGTGGTTGTCCTCCATTTTGTGATCTGATGTAATTTTCCTATGTGTTGTAAATCCTATTTCTATGATGTTAATGAGGCAGGGTTAGAAGCAGTTATGTTAATGAAGCAGGACACAATCCACAGGATTAGGGTGTATCTTGAGTCAATCTCTTTTGAGATATAAAAGAGAGAAGCAAGCAGAGAGGAGGGGATCTCATTACCACCAAGGAGGAAGAGCCAGGAGTGCCGTGTCACCTTGGGATCTGGGGCCCCTGCACTGAGAAGCTCCTAGACCAGGGAAAATTGATGACAAGGACCTTCCCCCAGAGCTGAAAGAGCCCTCCCCTGGAGCTGGCACCCTGAATTCGGACTTCTAGCCTCCTAAACTGAAGAGAGAATAATTTTTCTTAAAGTCATCCACTCATGGTATTTCTGTTATAGTGGCACTAGATAACCAAGACATTATTTTTGATTGAAATATTTTCTTATGTCCTATTTTTCACATATTATTTTTAAATAGACGTTCCAAAACACAACCGACAGTGTTTAATTTTTAAATTTTTACAATTGTAATTTCTCCCCAGTTAGGTATTTAAGGAGGCTCTCCATCTTCCTTTGTATCTGCTAAAGCCATGACATTATGGCCAATTTGGAATAATATTCTCTCAAGTATGCTGGATAAAGGGTAACTGAAAGGTCTAGTCTTAGATATAGAAATCAGGTAAAACTGACTCTAGAAGCTTTCTTTGAAACTAATTCATAATTTTTATATACATATGTTTCTAGCAACAACAAGGATCGTTTTTTGGGTCATAATGTTCATACAAAATTCTGCCTTTAAATTGTTCCTCTTTGTTCTTTTTTATTGACTTAACACATAAAAGTTGCTTATTCTTATTTTTAACCCCGAATGCTAGAATGTGCATTTTACTTTTTTTTTTTTTTTTTTAATATTTTATTGTACTTCAGGTGAAGGCTTACAGAACAGATAGTTTCTCATGTAACAGTAACACACATGCTGTTTTATGACATTGGTTAACAACCCCACAACATTTTAACCCTCTAAATTCTCAACTTTTTTTTTTTCTTTTGTGAAAATGCACATAGCCAAAGATATGCCATTTCAAAAATTTTTTTTTTACATACACATTTAAGTGACATTGACTACACTCTTCTAATTGTGCTGTTATTCTCACTTAAGATGAAGGCTTACAGGACAAAATAGTCTCCCATTTGACAGTTACTACAAATGTTGCCCTATGACAATGGTTAACAATCTCACAACACATCAACAATATCCTTACTCTACTTTGTGTTCCCTATCATCAGCTTCCTACTCCCCTTCTGCCTTCTGGGCCTTCTCACTGGACTCCTGTACCTCGTTACTCGCATGGTTTTACTGGGCTGTCCACTCTCAGGCTGATCAGTGAACCTTGAAGGTAACTTTACCACTGAGCTAAAAGGGTGTCTGAGGGCCATACTCTCAGAGGCATTTTACTTTTAACCTCAAAAGTGAAAATGTGTATGTGTGTTATTGCTTGCCTGTATTTTAAAGTTCTAGGAGTCTTGCATTACTGATTACTGGTTATATTGAGCACGTGGCTCAATATAACTGAATTCCTGCCCCACTCTGGGATTCGAGATTCTAGCCACTATTTTTAACAATTCCCAGTCCCCACAGTGCACACAAGGAACTTTTTAACATGCTAGCTACTGTCACTGCTGTGATTACTAACTCTTGCTGAACTCCTTCCCCCAAGATAAAATTTTCTGGAGAGGGCTTAGGAGTCCGGGGCTTTTCTGGTTCTGTAGCAAGAAGGTGCAGGTATGTTCTGGCTTCTGTTGTGGGAGGCAGACTATTCTAATGAAAACTCCACATAATGGAGATAGGCAGTTTTCTCAAAGGGAATCGGAATATTCTCATAAAGATGGATTGGATCCTGGAGAGTCAGATAATGATAGATTCCAACGTGTGTGCCTTTTGAGGCTCAACACAAATGCCATCTATCTCCTAAGTTCTTTATTTTTCTTTCTCTTTTTGAAGTATATTTTTTAAAATAAAGATTTTTATACTTGTGCACACTTAAAAATTCAAATAGAGCTAGAATGCTTGTAGTAAAAATTCATAACTCATGTTCCTTTCTGCTCTGTTGTTGTTGAGTGCTGTTGAGTCAGTTCCGACTCAGCGACCCTGTGCACAACAGAACAAAGCACTGCCTGGTCCTGCACCATCCTCACAATAGTTGCTATGTTTGAGCCCATTGTTGGAGCCACTATGTCAATCCATCTCCCTGAGGGTCTTCCTCTATTGTTTAGCCTCTTCTTTACCAAGCATGATGTCCTTCTCCAGGTCCTGGTCCCACCTGGATAACATGTCCAAAGTACGTGAGATGAACTCTCGCCATCCTTGCTTCTAAGGAGCATTCTGACTGTACTTCCAAGACATAATTGTTCATTCTTCTGGCAGTTCATGGTATATTCAATATTCTTCTCCAACACTGTAATTCAAAGGCATCAATTCTTCAGTCTTCTTTATTCATTGCCCAGCTTTCGCATGCATATGGGGCGATTAAAAATACCATGGCTTGGGTCGGGAGCACTTTAGTCCTTAAAGTGATGTCTTTGCTTTGTAACACTTGAAAGAGGTCTTTTGCAGCAGATTTGCCCAATGCAATGTGTTGTTTGATTTCTTGACTGCTGCTTCCATGGGTGTTGATTGTGGATCCAAGTAAAATGAAATCCTTGACAACTTCAATCTTTTCTGTGTTTATCATGATGTTGCTTATTGGTTCAGTTGTGAGGATTTTTGTTTCCTTCATGTGAGGTGTAATCCATACAAAAGGCTGTACTCTTTCATCTTCATCAGTAAGTACTTAAAGACCTCTTTGCTTTCTGC